CTCTTTGGTGCCATTTCTGCGGCCATAGGACCACATTTCTCTGTGTGCCATAGATCCACATTTATGTGGGTGTTTGTGATTTGACAACGCTGCCATTCAGGATACATAGATATCTGCAGAAATATAATATTATACAAAAACAGCAAAATGGTAAATTTGTATTCAGTGATTTGGGTTTATTTCTGTGAAACATGATTTTAAAAACTGTCAATGAGAGAAAGAAGATTCAGATTCAAAATATGTAGTAATATAGATAACTTTACATAGTCTTTGTTAGAGAAAGAAGTAGCTTTATATCAGGCAGAGTTATGTACAGCATTTTCATGGGTAAGGGGGAAGGATCAGCATTTCCACAGGCTTTTACCTGAAGTCGGTAGACTGCTGAATCAGTTTCTAAATAATTTGCTTGGACTGGAAAGATGGATAAAATTACTGTCTTTCCAAAGTCTCTTGGAAAAAAATGTGTGCTCCACAGGACTGGCAAAGGAGGTTACAGTGACCAGGGTCCACATGTTTTAATTCTCTGAGGTCACTTCTGTATACTCATCTCCTCTTTTTGGTCTGAAACTTCATTTCCCTTTCACAGCTGTGAATTCTCTTGTGGGCCCTGCGGATGGATTTGATAAATGCTGCTAATATCACCTCCTGATCTACCAGTGCTCTGACTTTGGTCTGTAGGTCTAGATGAGTAATTGCCGTTGTTCTACTCCAATGACTGAATTAAGTTGCCCTGTTTGAAGGGGTTCATACGTGTATGATTTTAGCCAAGGTGGCCCATTGCATTGTACCCAATAGATGCTGACCTTTTACCAGTGCTTTAAATTGAAGCAAGCAGAACCTCGGTTTCTGCAACTGCCTAGACTCTCTTATAACCCTTTGATTACTATGAAGCTGCATAATGTAGGAATTTAGAATTTTGTGCATTGCTTTCTCTTCCACCCCAGCACATAAATGCATGTTACAGCATTGCCAAGAAAAAAGGAACAAAGAGTGAGACTCCCTTCAGCAGGTTTTGCAGAATATACAGCACCCTGGAAAACCTGCAGTTCTGATAATCCCCCTAGGAGGTGATGGGCACTACAGCTGACACAGCCATCAGTCCTGAAAGCTTTTAATTCTCCTCAAAATAAATAGGAAATATCCTTTACTGCAAATGCAGTCATTCCTACACATACTGCGTGGCTGCATTCCCAGCAGTGAGGGTCACAGTGGCTCACAGGTAGTAGCTAACTATTGATACAGGTAGTAGCTAACTATTGATACACTACATGGATGGATGGATGGATGGATGGATGGATGGATGGATGGTATGTTCATTCAGGTGCTCATCAAACATTCCTGTTGGGCTGGTCACTGGATATTGTAGAGCAAACATCTTGATGTAATATCATCAACTTGGTGTTGAAAAAGATAAAACGTAGACCCTGCATCATCTTCACTGTTATTTAGGTATAAATACATTGGTGAAACTGAGTTTGGAGAAAAAAAACAGTCTTCTGAAAAATGCCTATGACATATAATTCTGGAATGGTCTGCCAGTCACAGCATTTTAAAATGTCTGTGTAATTGCCCAAATTACCACAGCATGTCATGTAACACCTTAAAGATTTGGTTCCTAAAGAGGATCTTATTATGAGTAAATTAAATATTACAATATATTGATTTCTGGCATTCAAACTTACTTTTTTTGTCATTTTTAAGGCATTTAGAGTGACAGACATACTCATGTTTCCTGTTCCAGCAATGACATTATTCACAGTGCTGATTGGTGTATAGTATGGAAATGAATGAGCAGCTTGTGGTGAAATTGCCATGAAAGGAGTATGTTCCAGGTGGGGTTTTTTAGAGACAATGTTAGATGCTTTAAAAGTAAAGGCATTACCCTGTGAAATTCTGACTGCTCCTCAGTATCATCTTGCCCATGTTAATTTTCATTCATTTTCTGTCATGCCAGGTTGCTCCAGGCACCCATGTACCTGTAAACCAGATGGTATTGACTGATGCCCATGTCAGGCCCAACTTTTAACTAAAGTTGCTTTTAGGGCAAATGGCATTTGTAATTCATTGTGACAAGGCCTAGTGAACAAATTGCATTTGCATCAAAAAATCTTGCATTTTGAGATCACAGTCTTAAATGAGAATGCAGGTGCTTTTCACACCAAAAAATAATATTTAAAACATGGTCTTCTGCTGAAAAGAATAACTGCAATTTTCTCAAAATGCACCGTTCAGGTTTTCATCATCTCTTCTGTTCCTCTCCTCGCTGCCTGCAGTGCTGCCAGGTAAACACAGAGAGGTTGTAGGGGGGTTCCCTGCTCAGCCCTGAGCACACAGATAACCTGTCCTTGCCCTTGCAAGAGTGAGCAGGTGTCTGTCTGCACACTCGGTGTACATGTCTGGACAGAAGGTTACAGGTGCTGTAACACAGTCACTTAATAACTAGGAAAAAATAATTTATAAAAGTGCACTATTATTTAATATATTGCAGGAAGTAACAGCTTTTGCAAATAATCCAGTAAAAATATTTGGTTGTTTTACATGGCAGGATGAATTCTTCACCATGAGCATTCCCTAAATCCTTCTAGGCACCTAGCTGGGCTTTGGCTTCAGGTTGAAGCTGTCCCTTTACCTGGGGAAACTTGGGAAACTGGCAGCACAGTACACAATGCTGTCTTGTTCCTGTTATCTGCCACCAGTGTCAGCAGCTCATCTGCATAGCACAGACACTGCATACACAACTGCAGCAAACAAACACAGCAGAAACTTCTGTGGGTGATAATGCACATCCCAATGCTTAGTCGTTTGAACCCCAGGCCTCATTGAGTTTGCAAATATCATCATAGCTAGAACAATCTGAATGTATAAAATTTTGAAAATGTGAATTGGTGTGAGAGGACAATGCATCTATTGAACTTTGCCAACCCTTGGGATGCCCATGAGTAATTTATACCATTGTGTTCTGTGGAGCATTGTTCTTTCATTCAGTCCTCACAGTTTAACACTTCAGAAACAGCCTTTGTCCTGACACCTCCCCTTCCCTACTCTGAGCAGTTTAATTGGAATAGTAGGAAAAATGTATAGACATACATTTCAATTAATAGTTTTAACTGGGGATGGCAACTTGCTTTCCTATCCCAGATTCACATAGGATGGCTGATAGCTCTAAAATGAAGACACACGGAGCAGGAAAAGGATGGTAACATTTGTTTTCATAGCCAGTGTCTATGTATTGTGGCTACCAATCTGTTCTGCTTACTGAAATACAGAATCAGAGCCTGGAAACATTCATGGTGATGGAAACATCCATTTATTCTTCAAGTGCATTGAGATTGCTTCAGTTAGACTAGTGAGTGCTGGACCAGCCCAACAGTTTTAGTATTGAGTATATTATTAGATACATACTGTAAGTTCCCACATAGATATTTCAAAATATTTATCTAGGCATATTGAATTCTCAGGCTTTCAATCAGATGTTAAAACAAGCACAATTTGTCACAGTTATTGGTACTGCAGAGTCTTTCCAGCATACTGTCTCACAGAGTTTGGTGTCGAATGAAATAAAGCAGGGAAAGCTGCCCATCACCTGGCATCCTCATGTAAAGATACCTACATATGGCAGGAGAGCCTGGAGAGAGCTGGGTGAGCCATGGAGAGGGAGCTAATCAGCAGTGCAGGTGGTTCAGGTAGCTGCTTTTCACACAGATAATTAATGTGTACAAGTAGCTGCTAATTGCACATTTCAGGAATGATTTATGAGGTGACAGAGGGGAAAGGGGGACACGATCTAATTTCTTTGGGAACCTCTGCCATTCATACAATGGTATCAGCACAGCTGTGAGATGGGACATGATTAATGAACGGTGGGCAAACAGCGCCGTGGCGCAGGACAGTGCCGGGACGCTCGTCACAACAGCAAGTGGCCCTCAGAGCCAGGGCCGGCAGCGTGGGCACCATGAGCTTTTGTCTTTAGCTTGCAGTGGCCTGGGACATCATGGGCACCATGAGCTTTTGTCTTGAGCTTGCAGTGCCCTGGGACATCATGGGCATGATGAGCTTTTGTCTTTAGCTTGCAGTGCCCTGGGACATCGTGGGCATGATGAGCTCTTGTCTTTAGCTTGCAGTGCCCTGGGACATCGTGGGCATGATGAGCTCTTGTCTTTAGCTTGCAGTGCCCTGGGACATCGTGGGCATGATGAGCTCTTGTCTTTAGCTTGCAGTGCCCTGGGACATCAGCTGCACCCCAGCCGCGTTCTGGAGTAAGATCCTTTGTGTCCATCAGCACAGTTACAGGTTTAATGGGGACAATTATCATTGAGTTGTGTGGGTTTGTGTTTATGAACAAAGACTCTGGATATTTATTCTTTCTGTAGAGGTCATGGAGAAAACAAATGTGGCTGGGACTAATATTTATACAGGACATTAAATCTGTTAAACACCTGCTTCTGGTGCTCTGCCTGGGAGCAGCCTTTACCTACTGTCACATTTCCTTCTGTCTGCTGTCTGCCATGCACCATCCAGAGCAGGTGTACAGGAACTCGGCTTTGCTTGGGAAGAGTGATGTGCACATTGGGATTGTTGTACCTGCTTATCTGCACTAAAGATAATACAGACTAATATGATGCATTTCACTGACATTCTCACGGGCTGGTTAGCATATCAGTTTGGTGTTTTTTTTAATGCTAGTCTAGTTTTTCTCTGAAGAGACTACTAACAAAATTTCAAGAAATGCAGCCTTCCTGTGGTGTAAGTGCACTTACAGGGCAGTGCTGTGAAGAGCCAGTGTTCAACTTTCACTGTGGAAAATGAATGTTTTCAACACTTTTCTCAAGGCACTGTTTATGTATCAAAATAGTCCAGACAGTTTTGCACTTCTACGAAGGCTATACCTCAAGCTGTGTGTGATCATAGTTTTCTTTTATTTCCTTTTGTATAATGTAGTATTTTTAAATTGCTGCAGTTCAACATTTAAGAGTGAAAGCATTTATTTCTATCTTTTATAGCTTTTAGAATTTGACAGAGAGCTGTCAGTCTTTAAAGACAGATTGTATGAACTGGACATCTCATTTCCTCCCAGGTAAGATTCATATATAATCCATTTATTTAACTAGCTACAACATAATTATTACTTGCACTGTTGGTAAAATGTGAATGTTCCCATATTTATTGCAGAAATTATAATGATGTCTGTTCCTTTTATGATTGTTTATTCTCCCCACATCCCCTCCATCACTAATAAACCACATGCCAGTAGTGCTCCATAGCTCATCATGTGGGTTCCGCTGATCCTGTCTTTTATAGCTGCTCTTAAAACAGACCTGGCAGGAATGTGTGCTCAGAGATGTGGAAGGACTTCTAAGCACTGGGCCCAGACCACCTGTTAAATCACATTATTGCAACCATAAAGACAGTCTTTGCCTCAAGCTGTTTGATGCCTGCCAGCAGTGGCGCTCAGCAGGAGTGCAGTCAGCTGGGGCTGTGGAGCTACTGCCATCACTCAGGGAAATCCAAGAGGGCTATCAGGAAGGAGGGCAGGAACTTAGATTCTGCTTTTTCAGTTATATAGCTACTTAAGACTGTTAGAATAAATTGGCTGGTTTAATACACATGCATGGTTTTAGTCAGCAGTATCCCTGAGGTGTTTTAGCCATGAATGGACAACTATTGCTATCATACAAAACCAAGCATTTTGCAAATGGCAGTTCTGTTTGGGAGAAATGCGTGGAAGATTTGGTGCCATTCTGTACAGGTATGGTCCCTTTCCAAGACTGAGGAAGTCAAATCTCACAGTTGCTTTCAAGGGAAAGAAATACTGCATTCACAAAGAAAAAGTTCAAAAAGTAGTAGAAAAAAGGCAGATAAAACTATGCTTTTTATATACTTTCTTGTTAATAGATTTAATATGTTTAAATACTACTATTTTATGCTTCATGGATAGATAGGAAAGCATGATGTTTTGGCATGCACTAAAAAAAATTTGGGAAGCTTGCCTTTTGTGATGATAATCTCATTGCTTCTTACCAGCCAGCTGCGATACTGATTTGTATTGATCCCCTGGGACACTGGAAGTATGCACGGAGTTACCACCACTCTAAATTGTCCCTATTGATTGAGTGTGATAACAGTAGACCAGCAGGGTGTGTACATCCCTAAGTGTGTCTCACTCGTCATGTATCTGGGCAGGGCAGATGAAGGTGAGGGGAAGGGATACAATTTTTATGCCATACATACTCTTCTACTTCATTTCTCCAACACTAGTGCTTTCAGCCAGAGCAAGGCTTACCAAAAATACATTGTTCCATGAATAGTTTTCAGCTTCTTCAGACTCTGTGAGAGCTTTTCAGTGTCATGCTCCCCTCAAGCAGAGATCAGCAATTAGGTGTAAGTAGTCTCTGTGTGTTTTAGTTCTACTCACTCTGTTTCCTTCTCAACAACTAGCTAACAGTAATAATAATAATAAATGGTAAAAAAAAAAAATTATATACTGAGAGATAGCATCTATATATAAAGAGCAAACTGGCTTTTTATTAGGATGTTTTTTCACCCATCCCTCCTTGCTTTCTGTGTCATAAGGCATGGACATTCTATTGCCTATCCTGTGGTCCTTGCATGGCCACAGGCTCAGTAATGTATCTTTAACAGAAATACGTTACTATTTTCAGTCATACATAATTTTTAGTGTGTATAAATAATTACTTATATAATACTTATATGAGATTTATAGTTACAAATTGAATTTGTATCTGTAAATGGAATGGTATTAAGGCAGCACAGCAAATTATTGTTTCTGCACATACAAAGGAGTTTCCTTGGAGTCTTGACAGACTCTGTGTTACTGCACATTAGCTTCAGGCCTTTTTAGTTAACTTTGAACGTGGGAAGGATTGGAGAGCCACTTCTGAGCTCTCCTACAGCCACATCTAAACCTAGCATTTCTGCAGGCATACTCAGGGAACTCAAAACTAATCTATTGTTCTTCCCCAGTGCAGTACTGTAATTTAAGATCAGATGTCTGCTTGATCTGCTGTGAATTCCTCTTCCTGATGTGGGTGACCATCATGATGCAGTGCAGAGGGAGGGGTTCTCAGGTAGTCATCCCTTAGAACCATCTAGAACAAAGCCTTGACTGAGCTCAAGGGTTCCTCCAACCCAAACCATTCCTTCATTTTGTGATTTTATAGCACTGACAGCATCTGCAGGCCTGTCAGTTATCTCCTCTCTGTTCAGCATCCCTAAAGCATTTTCCAAACTCATCTTCAATTCTGAGTTCCTTTGAGTTCTTTAATGTATGTGCATAAACCATGTCAGCTCACCACCCTGTATGCCTATGCCCAGAGGAGCATGCCAGGGATGCAGTGAATGAACAGGGGAAAGAGGCTCATCCCACCTGTTCTGGACCTGGATCTGCTGATGCTGTGTCCACAGGGCCTCCCACACCTTCTCTCCAGGGTCCTTGGAGCCTGCAGGGCAGTGGCAGGAGGACAGCCAGGGCCAGGCATTCCTCTGGCCCTGTCCAGAGCCCACCCTTCCCTCGCAAACCCTCCCTGTGTCCTGCTGAGATGTGCCAAAGGTGAAGGCAGCCTGGGAGGGTAGCCACAGTTTAACAAGAGACCACGTGGCAGGTCTGCTATGTTAGACAACCTGTAAAAATCATTCCAACAGAATATTCCTCAGACATTATTCACCCACTCCTATATTTTGCAGTCTTTTATTTTATATAGTGAATGTTCATGTTTTCATCTTGTTATCCTCTGTGATCTAGTGTAGCATATAGCAACCCAAGCCACTGGAGACTAAATACAAGTTAGAATTTTAAACTCTGTAAGCTCTGTCACTCACAGGCTGAAGAGTCTGGCCATGAGCAAACAGCCCAGTGTGAGGCTGCAAAGGGCTTCGTGGTAGTCAACAATCACTGCAAAAGGCAGGAGGTGTGAAAAAAAGAAGTAAAAACATTGTAGTGTGTCAATATACAGGTGGGCAATTGTTACCTTTATCACTGCTCTCCATTAATTATTATAATTATTCTTGTAGCTGTTGTATAACAAAGATAGGAGCTGACTTTAGCAAGAGTTCACACCCACATACAAGGTTTGCTCTCAGATAAGGCTGCATGCACAGCAATCTCATGTATTAATCATTCTCTTAAAGTGACCTATTCTTGTTTGTTGTTGAATTAGGCTGTCATGTAATTTACTGGTTGGACATATGTTTGTGTCTTAGATACCCTCTGTGTGATATTTGTCTCAAGCAGACCCTCTGCGCTGGCAGTGTCTTGGCTTTTGACGCCTCTGAGCAGGAGAGACAGGTTGAATCTCATTTACTCTCGGCACAGTGTTCCTCCTTTGGAATTCTCTCTAACACTGGCTCATTGTTCTGCAAAATTCTTATTTATTCTATAAAATATTTTTTCTCTACCTTGTATTTTGTCCCATGACCCTTCTCCGTTCTGGGAGGTTGCCCAACGACACATGTATTTTGTGTTCTGATTTACACTGAGCCAGCCAGCTCTGCATGAAGCAATGCCCAGAGTGCTCCCTTGTTCCTTCTCTTCTGCAGAGACTATGCAGAGTAGAACCTCTGGGTGCCAGTGCACAGAGCCCCAGTGTCACCCTTGGGTATAATATGGAAGGACAAGATGATGGTTTAGGTGTCAGCTCTTCCTTTCCAGTGTTCTCACTGCCTCTCTGCATGTTCTCAGATCATACAGACTGCCTGCAGATGGGGCAGGACAGCACTCCTGAAGCAAATGGGATTCTCATTTCCTAGAACTTCTCCTCGGTAATGCTGCTGGTCCTGTTGTCTCACAAAAGGGGACTTAGGCACTCAGATGAAAAAGCCCCAGGTTATTTTTATGCTTGCATTATCAGTTACTTTTAATACACTATTTTTTTTTTTTTGCCAACTAAGAAGTATTTTCTACTGAACAGAAATACTTCAGACTCACTCATGCACTGTAAGACTCCTTCCAGGTATTAGTGAGGTATCTGAAATCATCCATGGATCTCTCAGCCCTCCGAGAAACAAATTCCCACCTGACATGATGCAGTTGTCTGGGTGCTTCCAGCATCTAAGGCTGAAGCACAGCAACAATTTCCCAGCTGGAAACAGAGAGACAGCTGTCATTTCCTCCAAAACAATTTGAATTTAATTATTACAATGATTTTTCAGACAGATCTTGCCTCCATGTTTCCACTCACATTAAACCAGTACCACTATCACCAATTCTCAATTTTCAAATTGAAACAGGGTGTTTCTTTAATTTGTGAGGAACTTGACAGCATTACCTAAAGTCTGGTTTAAGGAATTGTGGCAAAGGGGAAAAGAAAGGACCACAAATGAATTTAAAAAGTTTCAAAGAATTACTCTACACCATGTGTAAGGTAAGGACTACAGACCACACTGCCATCAGAAAATAAAGTGTATTCAAAAGAGCTTATGGTCCTTGCTGCCAGCCAGGCTGTCCCATCTGAATGTACTGCTGAAAAGCCCAGTAGTTTGGAGCTTGAATCCTGATCCATTTCTTCCCTCAGGTTCCCAGTTTTTGGTGTTTTTTTTCAATATGAGGCTTTGTAAAATTTAGCCCCAGAGTAAGGTACTTTTGAGAAGTACAGGTAGGCATATTACCAGAAAAGACATCAAGCTCAATCACAGTCATAGATAGTAACATCAGGCTTTTCTGGTACAACAAGTCAGCACTGGGTCCTTCCCAACAAGCCAACATTATTCATAATTCCATATATCCACTTGTAATAGTAGCAGTATTGCATACATTGCGTGAGGTACAGCATTACTGTTAGAGTTCATCACTCAGTGTTCACTTGCTGAGGCACTGGTATTGCCAAATAATCAATTTTTGCCAGCTGGGCCTCCCCATGGCTCTGGGGCCAGAGCAGAGCACAGTGTGCCCCTTGCCATCAGCCGTGTGCCAGCCTCTGGTCCTGGGCAGGTCCTGGCACCGGAGCCAGTGCCAGCACGTGTCCTCCTGTCACCAGGGTTTGGCCACAGGGTGGTTTTCAGCAGCACTATGGACACCATAGTGCTGGGTGAGTGTTCTTCACAGAAAGTGAAGGGTTGCAC